CCCCCTTGGGGTCATGCTCAGAATGGAGAAATAGCTTTTGCATCTTGACCATGCTAACAATTCAGCTTTGCTAGCACGAGCACAAGCGCGGCGGCAATCCCAGGGGAGATCACTGCGTGACTGCACACTGGGAGGTTCAGATTTGGTCCTCACACCCCAGCTTCCCTGGACCTCAGCGAGGCAGGATCTGACCAAAGCGTATCACCTTACTTCCCCTCAGAGCAGTCTTTGTCCCCGCTCTTTGAGAAAGATTCTTTAAGAGATGTGAACCACGGGACGTACTCATCAGCCGAATGACTTTGAATGATTGGGGCAACAGCTTAAATCAGCAAGCAGGGTATGCAATGCTTTCTCTTTTTTTGCTCAATATGTGCCAAAATCTCTCCCAATGCTAAAAGATCAGAAGGTAAGTTACAAGCATAAAATGGCAAAGACCTCCTATAGAAAGCAGCTTATAAGGTGGACTAAGCAGAACTGATGAACTTCTCCCACATCTAATTGTGGCTCTATAACGCTAAAAAAACATATTTATGTATTTTTAGGTCCCCTAGAATAAGCAAGAGCATAGAATGAAAAAGAGTGAAAACTATTCCTGTGGAAAATAAGTACTTCAGGTAAGTACAGCCATCAGGATGAAGAAAACATGTCGAGTAAAATCCTGCTCTCACTGAAGATAATGGCTTTATAAAAACAGTTTATCACACACTTTATTTTTCTGTTCAGAAGGTGCAGATTTAAAGAACATGGTAATGCCACAGATACAACCAATCCATAGAAATTGCCTGAAAATTGTCTGCCAAGCCTACAATGTGAGAGTGACTTCCTATAGGTTATACTACTCGTTTGTCTATGCCAGTAAAAAAATAATATAAAATAGGGACAGAATTCTGCCCCAGCACCATACCAGTAGATATTATTGCACAATGTTCAAAGTAGGTAGTGTAGTATCCAGCCCTGTCAACGCCCAGTGTTTTGTTCTGGAGGCATTAACTTCTTATAGAGGTTTTGATTCATAAAATCAAGTAGTAACTTCCAAAGAGTAATGTTTTGTTTGTCCTTGTTCATGTCATGTTAGATTTAACTAAACCTGAGCCTCTCAGAATCAATTGTGTGGATCTTGAAACAGGTAAGACAGTGTAATTTGAAAAACTAAGCATATACATGCATATACATAAATCCATCATCCCTGCTGCTGAAGTGAGAGGCAATGACACACACAATAGGTTTCATTTGACCTTTTGGTGTAGCCCAAAGGTCGTGTGTAAGAGCAGAAGAGAAGTTCTGTAGAATTTAATCCTGTCAGTGAGAAGAAAGACGATCACAGGAGTTAGACCAGATTTTGAAGTAATAGGATTCACTGCTGATTGAGTCCCATGGGGACTCATACTGTCCTATGGAAATGTAAGATTCCATATTTATTCAAATTAAAGGTGGTAAGGCACTTGCTTATGAACTTTCATTTCGCTCCTGGCTCTACTATGAATTATTGCTGTGGTTATCATCATTTTTGAGTATGGCCTTATTAAATTCAGCACTAGTTTTACTATTGCATTTCCATATTTGTGTATGGATATGTATACATACATATATACTACAACATCCACAACCTTCATTTTTGCATACCAGCAACTCTGCTTATTTATTAACACACAGTAGCTGAAACCGAATGAAGAATTCCAGCTACAGGTAACTCGTATTAGCTGCCAAGCCACTTGGTTCCAAATTTATGTAAATATTCTTCCAACAGTTTTGTGAAATTATTAAAAAAAAACAATAACAAATATAAAAGCAAGCACCTGAGTAAAAATAATGTAGTTTGTATTATTGTATTTTTAGTCATTGTGACTTATTATCATTGTGATATATCTACTTGTTCAAAAACAGAAAAATATTTATGTGAATATTCTGCTATTTAGGAGTATGAGGTAACCCAAAATGTGTTCATCATTTATAATGAAACTCATAAGGAAACCAGCTACTGGAAAATATTATGCTATTTGTAAAGCATAGTATTAAATGAAAGAGCTATAGCTTGACCTCTTTAACTACATTTTTCTCTTAATTCAGAGAACATGGTGCCGAACGGCAGGCAGTAACAAAACAACTAGAAAATTGGGTAAAAAGTTGTCATATAAAAGCCTCCAAGTATATTTTTAACAAGATGCTCTGGATGCTTCAGTAAAATGTATGCTGGAAGAACTCCGGGCTGTCCCCTTCTAAGAAGCTAGCATGTGCATGCATTACTAATGGTAACTGACACTGGAAACAAATTTTATTTTCCAAATTTAAGAACTTTTTACCATAAACTAAAACATAGAATTATCATTTCAAAACTGCTCTAACAGTGAGTTTTTAAAAAGGAAGAAAGCCAATTGTGAGTATATTTTCTGTCCTTTGAAAACAGGGATAAATCCTCTCTGGTGTGTCTTTTGGATGCTCTTTCACCTTTCAGGATTGAGGGGGGAAAGAATAATGACTTAAATCTGCCTCTCCAACTCTTTATTTCAGCTTTGCCCACTTGCTTGCCTTCTGTGCATGGAAAGATGCAAAGGAGGCAGTGTGGTCTTGCACAGCTCGTGGGATCCGTTGGAACGCCCTTCTTTGTAGCATTTCCCCCACCTCCAGATATGAACTAACTGAAGAGAATTTCAAGGGGCTGGTCTAGGCACTAATGTTTAGCAGCCCTTTCCTATTCTATAAGATACATATTCAAAATTAGGTTTGGGATCTTAAAACCCATTTTAATTTAAATACGTATTTTAAATCACAGTCTTCAGTTGGAAGACTAGTAGGAGTAAATGCTTTAACATTGATAACTCAGTCTTGAAAAGTCAACATTTGTTAAAAATAATGACAAATGAAATGTGAACTTTTTCTCTAATCCTACAGCATGTAGTAATGGTCCTTTCCTGCTGAGTGACGGTTGTAAGCGTATTGTGAGGAAGAACTTTGGGCAAATGCTACAAAGCCATTCACTGGACAACTTTGTGGAATTAAATGCTTTCCTTTTAGATGTAATTTTCTTACCACTGAGGTACTGAGCTGTCTACAGACATGGCCAAATTTTCATTAGCAATAAGAGATGTACAAAGGAGACTGATAGAAGAACAGTGCAGAGGATGATGCCACTCGAGTTAAGGGTTTAGCTTAGATGACCTGAGATATCTTTCCCACCTTTATCATCACTGCTTCTTTAATACAGAGACATATGCAATGAGATATTTTTAATGACTGCCAAATCAATTTTTAAAAAATTATAATAAGTGTTATATACAGTAATTATATTTCCTATCTGCCTACCAAGCTCAAAAGTACGTATTAGAACTAACTGCATGTGGTGGGGCAAGACGGAAAGAAAGTAAGTAAGTGCATCATGTAATATACCCTAACGATAAGATAAAGGACTGCAGGAAGGCCTCGTGACACATAAAAGCTGTGGTGAATTAGATCTGTAATTCTCAAAATTTTTGCATTGTATCTTACTATGTTCTATTTTTTTGCCACTTGTTTATGAAAATCATAATTTTTTTTTCAAACAATATAAATTCAATAAATTTTATGTTAAAGCACTAAATAACTGAAGTTGTGATCATCAAAGTGATATTCACTACTTTAAGAAAATCTCTAAAAAAAGGATTCATTATGAATATTACAGTTACTTCAGGATACAAGGAGTTTACACCTACTAAATACAAGTATGAATTAATTAAGACTCTTTGTTATGAAGCTGTTATCACTTAAAGTTCCTGTAGGTCTCCAGATATTAGCTGTAGACATGCTTATCAAACAACTTCTTTGGGGAGAGAGGGAAGATGGCATTCAAGACAGAAAAAAGAACAATCTTAGGGCAATTTTACCATTGATCTACTTGAAGCAGCCCCAAAGTTTAGTGTATTAGGTGTAGTATGAGCAGAAATTTCATGAAGACCAATAGTAGGCATAGATTGAATGAAATTTGTCATATAAGTGCCATTACTGTATACAATTTCTTAACTCTGTTATGTCTGACACAGGTATATAGTACTCTTTATTATCTACAAAAACTGATGCTAGGGAAAATGCTCAAAGTTAAGTCCACAGCTAAGTCATTTGCTGAATTTTATTCTAAGTGCTGGATATAATATGAATTCCTAAGACAATCTGGACCTGATAGATCTCTTACAGCAAATTTTTGTGATCCCATGACAGTTTAATTGAAAAGATTTAATAAACAATTAAACAGGTCTGGGTAGCCTCTACAGATATCATGCAAAACAGTTGCTGGTGATCCTATTTTGCTGGTGACCTCTGTATTCATATAATTAACTGTACCAAACGATAGCTGAAATCATGTATTTGTATTTTAAAATACAACTATTTGTGCATGGTACTTCATGTAAAGATATTTTCTACATCTATTGGGCAAAGAGGCGGCTGATACCCTGGAAACACACTCTGTTAAAATGTGGAATACATTTAAATAAAAACTTTGAACCTTTCACATGGAAAACCTCTTCAGACTCAATTTGTTTGCTATTACAGTGAACTCTTTGTTGCACTAGATATCTAGTAGTGACACTACTAATATATACCTAAAATACTTGCCATTTCTCAGGTTCTTTCTCTGCTTTAGATACATCAACAATCTGTTGAAGTAAAACAATATTGATTCAAGCTGACAATTTTTAAGTAGAGTTACTGAATAGAAACTTAACCTATTAGCATTACCATCCTATCACACTGCCATTATAAACATGAACAAGAAAGTTACATTCCAGAAATACAATTGTATTGTTGGCAAGAAAGTCACATTACTTCATTTAGCGATAACTCAAACTACAGTAAATCTACCCTTGAGTGGCAAGATGATTTGGGGGAAGATTTACATTCTCCTTGCAAACTCTTCAAGGAAATTTCATGTCTGTAGGGACGAACAGGTTTTCCCTATGTAAAATCTTAGGAAAATACATTTATAGTAAATAAGAAACCAGATTTCAATAATACTAAACAGACATTAAAGGTCTTTTGGCTTTTTTAAGAAGATTTTTTATGTATGATTGAAGTTTATACAACACTCCAGAAAAGCCATCATGTGTTAGATTGAAAAATAAAATCAGAAGCATTTTCTGTCATATAGGTATACATGAAAAAACGGGAACGTTAAATGTCTTAGAAAGTGTATGTCCAGCTTTGTACTGTTACTCATTTAACAAAGCAGAAAATAAGATACTGTACTGTAAACAAAAAGCTACAGTAAAAGGACATTTTAAAATTTACACAAGTTTGAGTTCATAAACATTTTGGTTGCTCCATAACAGTTTTCATATAAAATGAATAAAAAACCCTTGGACAGCTTTCATCACTCTTCACTACTTTTCACTTAAATGCACACAGACATACTTTATATAGCAATATACTGATGTACTGTAACATGGATATTAAACTATGATTACTGCTTTTTAACTGAGATGTGTATTATCCAATCAATATTATCTGTAATTGAAATACTCAGACATTATGTATTCCCATCATGTTGTTAAGTATAAAAACATGAAAATATAACTTTACATTATTTCAGTTATATACATCAGTTCAGGCTTGACAAAGATTTTTTTTTACACTACGATTTTTTAGAGGAATAAGCCCAGAGGTACAATAAATAGCTTTCCACTGTATACAGTAATGCAATTCTACTTTTAAAAAAGTTTAGATTACCATATGAATATTATTTTAGTTTGGTCATTCTAGCATTGAACATTAAAAATCAGAATGCATCCCCCAACATTCCTGATGAGGAGTAATGCACAGGACACCTATGGATTACAGATGGTCAAGAAATGGTTTAGTTTAATTAGGGGGAAGTTAGTGGTAAGTTTGTCATTGAAAACACTGTATGTACCTCCTCTGCTGACCGCACTGAGAGTATACACAGTGTTCACATGCTTGCAGAAACAGGCTCAGAGCTTGTACCACCAGAAGGGATTTCAAGTTTCTCATAAATGCTCTGTCTTCTCCGATGTTCAGTAAACATTTTACTTAAGCCTAAGAAATGGATTCCAACTAAAACTGCAAGTCATATTTCAAATTTTATTTAAGTCCAAAATAAAATAGAGATTTACTGATACTGCATGAGGCAACGTATCCACAATGCAGAAAAACGTAAGCTTTTCAACCAAATGTACAGAATTTTATCTACAGGGAAAGCTAGAGAAACACGATGTTGCTTTGATTTGCATTAGCATTTAAATTAATGTTATTGCACCCCTCCTAGGATTCCTTTTTGCTTTGTAAGTAGAGTTATAATTTTTAAATACACATAATTAAAACATATGGTAACTTCAGATAGCAAAGAATATTCATAATTATTAAGATTCAGGAAAATTTTTATATTTTCATCAGTACAGACTTGCATCTAATTCGAGTTATCACCGATCATAATTCAAAGACATTGCCAAGGTTTTGGGTTTTATTCATAACAAAGAACTTTACTAGCTACTGCTTAGATTTACCTTTTAACAGTTTGAAAACTGCTTCCTTAAAGGAAAAATTTGAGAACTGCATGTGTTTTATACTTTAAAAAAATACTTAACACTATTTTACTGCTTGCCATTTATCAGTGTTTTCCAATAAGTCTTCTCTCTCTGTACATGTCTTTATGAATGCAATTGTACAAAAGTAGAGATAGATATGAACCAAATCTTTGGATCATAAGTCCCTGCACATCAGAGTTAAGAGGAGCTCTAAATCAGCACCTATCTGACTCCTCATGTGCTGGTATCAAGTACCACTCCAACCCAAAACAACCTTGATCTTCAGAGTTCAAAATGCATATCTGAGCGTCACAGCTTGGGCTCATCTGTAGAAAAAAATCGCTGAACAGATTCAAGTCAGCTGGGAGTGGCAACACTGCCAAAACTAGAACATTGACCCAACCTTGACAGTGTCCTTTCAGATTTCAACTCTTTATAACCCAATTGTAGCTAGTAAAATTAATGGAACACTTGCAAATAAAACCATAGAAAAAAGTTTATTTCAAATGTCAAGCATTGCCAAGTAATTTTATATTAACACCAAATGTTAAAGAATAGGATATACAGCAAAGTTTTAATAATAATATTAAATTACAAGATTTGAACATTTTAATTATTATTTCTCCTCAACATTACATATTTGGCTTTGAAAAATATGGAACTGATGCCTTAAGCCTTATTTTCATATTCCACTTCCCCGCAGTCTAGATTTCTTTTTTTCTTTCTTCTTGTTTTTTTTTCCTTTTGTCATATTCAACCATTATGGAAGCTAATTTATTTAAAAGCCAGTTTTTGTTTGTGAAAATACCTAAAAATATTTTTTTCATTTTAAATTTTTTTTTTTTTTTTATAAAACATGTCACATCTTGATGCAATTGATGTCAAGTGTGCTTAAGTCAATATGAACCAAGGGACTAACAACGGTGGCTGCAGAAACTGGTGTGTTGCCTGTACAACGACTTCAGTTAGATTACAGTACTTCCATGTTAGCTGTGCATGTCAGTCAAGCTTCATCTTGAACTTGTGTAGAAAATGGTGTTTTGAACTAAGCATTCATTACAATCCAAGATGAACTCCACAAATACAAGAATTCTTGGCTGAAAGAAAAGTCTTCAAGATACTGGATGCCTCTCACCACTTTGACAATAAACGCACAAGAAAACCATTGTGTAAGGCACTCAAAAGGTTCTTATCAATCACGAGAGATCAGTCACACTGACATTCATTCTCATGCCAGGACTCACGTAAGGTACTGCATGCACTGCTTTTGGAAATTCTGGAGTCATAACACGTCCATTTTCTCCAGTACTTCCTGTAATTGACAGCCTTGCCTTGCTCCTCATGGCATCATTCAAGGTCATCTTAAGAAAGAGAAAGAAAAATAAAATGATACATTACAGAAATTCAGTGTTTGAGACAGAAGCCCTGATTCTCTTC